GCAGATACAGCTGGCAGAGGCAAAGGAGCGCCGGCGAGCTCGTCGAGCGAGGGATGCCGGCGAGCGTGATGAGGGGCAGACGCCAGCCAGGCATCCCCGCCGCGCTAGCTCCGAACCTCCCAGCGGACAGAACGTGGCCACCCCGCTCGACTCGGCCTGGGAGGACGAGACCCCCTACCATCGGCCATCCTGGATGGGGAGAACAAGTGCCACGAGGCGGAGTGCATCCTGAACAACCTGCTCGGGGCCCCGGCCAGCGACCCCACGGGACTAGAGCAGAGGAGGAAGGGCCGCGAGCTCCTGATCGAGGGCATCCGCTCCATGTTTGAGGACCTGCCGCGGAGCTGGACTGGCACTCCCTACGAGGAGCAGGGGGAGATCGCGGGCGAGTACGTCGACATCCTGGAGAGGCTGACCCGCAAGATGGTGAGAGCGGGAGAGCTGGGCGACACCCCTGCGAAGAAGCGCCAGAGAACCGTGTACGAGAAGGCAGAGGAAGACCCCCCGAGCGACGACGCATCCCTCGTCGAGAGCTCGGAGAGCGAAGCAGTGGAGGAGCCGTACGCGGGGGCGCGGACAGGACCAACCCCACCCGTCCCAGAAGACTCAGACCCCCTGAGCCTCTGGCCGGGACGTGCAGACACCGCCGAGCGAGAGAAGGAGAAACCTTCCCGGAGCTCTCCTGGCGCGAGCGGCAGCGGAGGCCCAGCCCCGGCGGCCGACCCCGGGCCCCCGCCCGGCGCGCCGCCGCCGCCAGAAGCTCTCGAAGCTTCCCCCAACCCGACCAGCCCCCCGCAGAGCAAACCCGCCAAAGCGATCCCCCAGAAAGCAGCACCCATGAGGCGGAGTCGCTCGGCGGAGACAGTCGTGGAAGCAGCCAGGCGGGCCGCGCGCAGGTCGGGGACCTCCAGCGGAGGCCCGCCCACTGGGAGGGCGGACGCCGGCAGCACGGAAGCATCCGAGGGGGCACCTACGCCTAGGCCCAGGCCAGGGTCGCTGGGCGCCCGCTTGCGAGCCACCTCCAAAGGGCACCCCCCGCAGCCCAAGCCTCGCCAGGATGAGTCCGCGGGACCGCCCATGCCTCAGCCCCACACGGTCCAGCCGTTGCTGAGGCCGAGAGGATGGCGCCCGCCCCTCCCTGGCCAGATCTGCCGGCCGCCAGGCATGCCGCCAATGATGCCACCCTCGTGGCCAGCCCCCCCGCGTGGAGGAGGCCGCTGCGGAGGCCCCCCGCTGGAGGAGACACCGGCAGCCGCTGGCAGAGGGAAGGAGCAAGAGGAGGCGCGAGCCTACGTCAAGTGGTGCGCCGACCACCCAGACCTCCAGCCCGAGAGGGTCCCCGAGGTGGTGCGACGAGGTAACTCTCTCCTCCGACTCGCCGGCAGCGTGGAGAGGGCCGCCGAGCTGCTGAAGCACGCGCGAGAGGAGATCCATGGCAACCCGCTGGGCGGCGTGCTCGAGGAAGACGCGCAGAGGTCCTTGGACCCACACCGCGCCGCCTACCTCCGAGCGATGGCCACCAGAGGAGTCCCCGTGCGGCGCACGGAGGAGCGGGTACGCACGCAGGCCAAGTCACACTCTTCAGCGGTGGACCACGCCCTGGAGATGTTCGAGAAGGCCTGGAAGGATAGTCGCTACGGCGTGGTCCTTTCGGCCTCAGACGAGGTCGAGGACGTGCTCGCCGCCTCGACCCTGGTCGAGTCGCCCAGCGGGAGGGTCCCGAAGATGCTGCCGGACCGGACCATCTCGAAGGAGGGCCGGCCGATCCGCGATATGCGCGCGGCCAACGCCTTCTCCCCGAAGGAACAGCACCCACCCGCCAAGCAGCCCCTCCACAGAGGGCTTGCTCGACTCAGCCTCTGGTGGGAGGCAAGGCACCCAGGCGTTCAGCAGGTGGTCGCGAAGAGGGATGTGGCCAGGGCCTTCACGTGGCACCACCTGGAGCCGGCAGCGGTACCCGAGTTCGGGACGACGCTCCCGGGCAAAGAGGTCGGGGTGCCAGGGCGAGTGATCCTCATCCACGGCGTGCTGGTCTTCGGCTGGGCCAGTAGTCCAGGAGAGTACATGGCGTTCGCCTGGGCGGCCAAGAACGAGCATGAGAGGAGGAAGCCGCCGGCGCCCAAGATCAACGATACCGTCAAGTACGCTTCCACGTGGTTGATGGACGACGGTGTTGTCCTCGAACCACTGGTGGGCCTTCGGCCCTGGCTCTCGGCCGAGGAGCTCGACGGGGCCATGAAGCGGGTCTGGGGCCCGGACGCGGTCAACGAGGAAAAGCTGGACGTCGAGGGGGAGTTCGCCGCCGAGCAGCTGATCTGGGGCCTCCACATGAACTTCAACACGAAGGTGGTCAGGCTCCCAGAGCCTAAGTGCATCGAGGCCCAGTACCTGCTCGCCCTCCCAGAGCTCAGAGGATCACGGCGGGTACCGCTAAAGGTCGCCCAAGAGCTGCGAGGCCTTGCTCAGTTCTGGGCATCAGCGCAGCCTGCCCTCCGCCCTGAACTACCAGCCGCGGACCGGCTCTTGAGCAGCGGGGCGGGCTGGGCAGAGCCAAAAGGTACCCCCGAAGAGGTCGAGCTCGCCTGGGAAGAGTGGGGCGCCTCCGTGAGCTTCCTGAGGATGCTCTTCGACGTCCCCGAGGCTTGGAGCACGACCTTATAGGCGAGTTTCACGCAGGCGCTCTCCGTACGTGAGCGCCTCGCATTGCCGGGAACAGCGCGCGCTACGAGGTGGACCGGCGGCGACGCCACCACCTCGTCGATCGGCGCCATCGATTGGGGACGTGCAACTGCAGAAGGGGCCCCGCCCACGCTGGAGCACATGGCCGCGGAAGCCAAGCCCCTGCTCGAGGCCTTGAGCCAGGCTGTCGGGGGGGAGAGCAGCGAGGTGGACTGGATCATCGCAGTGGTCGAGCTGTTGGCAGTGGTCGCGCTGGCTACGAAGCAAGGCCCGGAATGGGAGGGTGAGCTGGTCTTCTACGTCACCGACAATCAGAACGTGAAAGCGTGGCTCACTAAGAGGAGCCCCAAGGATACCCTCGCACGCCACCTGATTCGCCTAGTGGAGCGCATCGAAGCCATGCACGGATGCCGCATCACCTCCTTCTTCGTTCGGACCTACCACAACGAGGTGGCCGACTGGCTCACCCGCGAGGAGGTCAAGAAGGTTCGCGACACGTTGGCCACCGAGGGGTGGGAGCGCCTCGAGCCCCCTGCAGATTGGGGCCAAATCCTGGAGGATGCTAAGGAACGCCTCCTCCGTCTCCCAGGGGAGACGGGCCCAGTGGCCGAGGCCGCCCTGCGACACCGAGCACTCCAGAGGGGGCATGGGCCGCCAAGGCCCCTCCCACTCCACGGGAAGCTGGGCAGAGAGGTGGGGGGCCTCCTCAACCCCTACGTGAAGGCCCTCAAACGCCTTGGTGGGTCCGAGCCCGGGGAAAACCAGAAGGCAGACTGGCTTATGGCATCGCTGTCCCTGGGGCCCAAGGGCCGAGAGAGGGAGGCGTTCCTCGTTGCAGCGACCAGCGAGGGCCCCGAAGTGGCGATCGCGGACGCCCCGAACGGCGTGGACACGGCCAGGCTCGAGAAGGCGCTCAAGCAGCTGGGCCACGTGGTCGCGAAGTTCGAGGAAATCTGCACGCACCACGGGGATGCCAGTACGCGGACCAGGCAGGTGCTCACAGGCGGACGTCGGAAGACGGGAGCAGGCCTGGCGAGCGTTGACATGCCGCCGGCCTGTTCGCGGGCTGCCGGCATCAAGCCACTTTTGGATAGAGGGAAGGATCACCTTTGGCTCGACCAGCAAGGCGAGGTGTCGTGGGGCCCCCGCATCCAGTCCACCAGCGACCCCCTCCTCCTCAAGCCGGTCGGCCACCTCGAGAAGGACGGGGTGAAGCACATGATCTACAGCGAAGAGGGGCCCGTGGGTACCGTTCGTTGGCCCGGGACAGGACCCCAAGGCCCAGGCGCCGCGCTCCTCCGGGTCACCGGAGGCGGCACAGGCACGGTCCGAGCCTTGACACCCCAAGAGGTCTGGAGGGTGCAGGGTGGGACCGACGACGAGTGGGCCAGCCTGCAGGCCCAGGGCTCCACGGAGGATGAGCTCCTGAGGGGCGCGGCCAGAGCCCTCCCACCGAGGACCGCAGAGGCAGTGCTGGGCGCAGTGGCGGAGGCTCTCAGCAGCACCAGCACGCAGCGCGCTGGAGTATGCCACGACCCAGAGGAGCAGGCCGCGTGGGAGGCCACCAAGCGTTGGTTCCGTGCCTGGGCGCAAGCGCCGGATCGACCCACGCTCGCGCTGGCAGCGGAGGACGAGGCACGAGCAGGCGGCGCACTCACCGACGAGATGCACGAGAATCGCCGGCGTGCCCAGGCGATCCGCTTCCGGGAGATCGATGAGGACGCGATCGTCGGACCTCGCGAGGCCCCAGCCGCAGAGGCGGTCAAGCTGGACAAGCGAGTGACCCGCTCGAAGAGCCCACGCAAGAAGAGCCCCCGACGAGCCAGGGAGATGCCGGCTGCCAACCTGGCGACTTAAGCCGCAGGCGCTGGGCATCGCGAGGAAGAGCAACAACCCCGGGAAGGAGCTCGCCCCCGCCGGCCGAGCTGAGCCAGGCGGAGCAGCTGGTTCGCGCAGCAGAAGATGGAGGCCATGCTTGAAAAACTCAGCGAAGGCACGAGAGCGGGCTACGAGGGGGGATGGCGGCTGTGGGTAGCCGTGCGCCAGGCGCAGGGGCTTAGCCCTTGGCTCCCAGGGCGTGGCCGCGAGGGGCGCCTAGCCGATGAGGAGGCGCTCATCAACTTCGCCGTCCTTCTCGCGCGGGTCGTCGGGAGGACGGAAGGGACCACCAAGCAGAAGCTCTTTGCGGTGGGCTGCGCTCACCTGGTAGCTGGCTACTCGGACCCCCTGCTCCACAGAGGCCGCCTCTGGAGCACCCTGGCGGGGCTTGCGAGCGCTGGCGAGGACCCGGGACCAAGCGGAAGAAACCCATCACCCCATCCATGCTCGAGTGGCTCCGCGGCTTCCCCCAGCAGGAGGCCGAGCTCCCCGAGGAGGACACAGTGGTCATCTGGGCGGCGATCGTGACGGCGTTCTTCTTCCTCCTGCGGGCCTCAGAGTACCTCCTCCAGGGCGGGCGCTCGTGGTCCTTCGAGCGCGCGCTGCGCGGGGAGGACATAGAGCCCAGAAAGGCAGGCAAACGCGTGCCCAGCTTCCAGGACGCCGACGAGATGGTGATCTACATCAAGGGCAGCAAGACGGACCAGCTCAACGTCGGGACGGTGAGGAACCACTACCGCGCTGGCACGACGCTCTGCCCGATCGCGGCGATGGGGCGGCTCCAGGCTCACCATCCCCAGCGGATAAAGGGCACCGAAGAACGGCTGCCCATTTTCCGCTGGGCGTCAGGTACCCCGATTCGCAGGGCCGAGGTGCAGCACTTCCTGACGGTCGCGGGGCTGGCCGCCGGGCTCTCCAGGGAGGAGATCGGCAGCCGCTCCTTGAGGATCGGCGGAACGACCGCGATGTACCACGTGACCGAAGACCTCTCCCGGGTGCGCCGGTTCGGGCGCTGGCAGTCAGACGCGTGCCGCGGCTACCTGTGGGAGTCGCGCGAGCCGATGAAGGAAGGGCGTCTCCAGCAAGATGGCCAGGGACACCTCCTCGCTGACCAACCCGGCGAAGGACAGCACCCCCGCCAGGGCCGCCGCCGGCGCCGAGGGCGCCAGGCGTGAGAGCCCGGTGCAGGCGCACCTGGCGCGCGCCCAGCCCAAGCCGCCGGCTTGGCCGCAGCGCGCTTGGATGCTGCAACTCAACGCCCGCGCCGCCGGCATACCAGCCGCGCGTCCGCAGGACATCCCCAGCCCGTGCCTCCAGCACTGGCCAATACTCTCGCGCTGTCATGCGCGCGCGGGCTTGCCCGCTTCGGGCTCCACTAGTGCTTGGGGCTTGGGATACTGTGGGCGCCCTCTGCAATTGCCGAACTGGGGCCATGCTGGGCCCGCCTGGCGCGCCGGCTCCTCTCGTCGAGCCTGGCCGTGCCAGGCGCACTGCAGCCAGCGCAGGTCGCGGCAGCTGATGGCCTGACAGCCCAGTAGCCCGCGGCACCATAATTCAAGCGCGGGATACGGGCCCACACACCAGCGCTTGCCCGGGGAACCCCCTCCGTCAGGGGCCGGACCCTGCCCGCCCCGGACACCCAGGGGGGAGCGGGGAGCCGGGAGAACTGTGAGGCCGCAGCGACGGCGGGCGCCGTGGCGCCGGCGTCAGCCAGGCGCCGCCCGCGGCGAGTTCGGGCCCCGGCCCGAGGTCGGGCTCCGCCGGCAATCAGTGCGCCAGCGTGAGCCCCGGCCTAACCTCACGGAGGACAGCCGTGCACGCCGGCATCAGCTGCCTGGCGGCGATCGGCCAGCAGGAGGGCCAGTTGGGCCCCACGCGCACGCCGGCGCCTGCGCCCGGCTGTGCGCGACCCAGAGTCTAGATGGTGCCGGCCGGCTGCACAGAGCCCGGCACCCAATTTTGATGGCGCCAACCATGGCGCCCGCATAGCAATGCTGACGTGCAAGGCCCGCCAGACCAGCGCGCAGCCTCACTGGCAGCATACGCCAGTACCGCTAGAACAAAGGCGGCGAGGCCCGCTTCGCGTGGCGGAAGGAGGGGTCCGCCTGGCGCCGACAGCGCCGGCGGAAGCGCGCGGCCAGCGCAGCAGCAAAAAGGGAGAGCTGCGCAGCTGCATCCTCATCATCGTCTTCTGAGGGCCCGCCTCTGACCGCTTCGCGGCTGGCGCGTCCCGAGGCCTTACAGCAGGCCGCGCTTTCGCTAGCGCCGTACTGTGGGGGCGGGGTCTTAGTTGTTTGTCCTAAACGGTTGGACCCCGCCCTCCAGTCACCCCGAGTCTGGTCGAAATGGCAGGCAGGGCGTTTCACCTGAGACTTCCTCACCATTCTTGCAGCCTGGCTATGTCCGAGACTGCATGTGTAGGTGTGCACTGTGCGCTGCTAGCTGTCGGTACAAAGTGTACCGAAAAAGTGACAATCGCTGAAATAGTGCTGCCTGTCTGTGTCCGAGGCTGCGTGTGCGATGGGGTTTGAAGGTTAACCCTTCACCTCGAAAGTAAAGAGCGTGGAATACTTGGGCTGCGACCCGGGGTTGTGTAGGTTAACCCCGAACCTGAGGGGGGGTCCACGAGGATGCGAATATGGAGGAAGGAGGACAAGGGAGAACATGAATAACAAAACTGAGAGTGTGTGCGGGATTGTTGCTGCATAAGACGGTACTGCTGCCGTGCTGCAATTACTCCGTGCGCTGCAAGATGGTTTTAGAGATTTACCCCTAACATGTGAAAAAAGGCGTGCAATCTTTGGGCTGCTACCCAGGGTTTTGTACGGTGACCCGAACCTGTGTAGTAAGTCCCTCCTCCGATACCGCCGAGGAAAAAAAAGTACAAAGCCTCGGCCTCCACGAGTAGCAAAGTGAGAGCATCATAGTTGCTGTCTGGCTGTGTCCGAGGCTGCATGTGTAGGTGTGTTATGTGCGCTGCTAGCTGTCGGTCCAATGTGTATTGAAGAAATGGCAGCCGCTGAAATAGTGTTGCCTGGCTGTGTCCGGGGCTGCGTTTGCGGTGGGTTTTGTAGGTTAACCCCGAACCTGAGGAGAGTTTCGCGAGGAAGCGAGTAAGGAGGATGGGGGACAGGGAAAAGGTGTACGCGAATAAAAAGGGCAATCCTAGAGCTGCTACCCAGGGCTTTGCCGGCGATCCCCCAGCCTTTCATTAGCAAGTTTTATTGACCGGACCCCGCCCCCACAGTACGGCGCTAGCGAAAGCGCGGCCTGCTGTAAGGCCGCGGGACGTGCCAGCCGCGAAGCGGTCAGAGGCGGGCCCTCAGAAGACGATGATGAGGATGCAGCTGCGCAGCTCTCCCTTTTTGCTGCTGCGCTGGCCGCACGCTCCCGCCGGCGCTGTCGGCGCCAGGCGGACCCCTCCTTCCGCCACGCGAAGCGGGCCTCGCCGCGGTGCCTTTAGACACCGAAGCAAAACCCAGGGTGGGCGGGCAAAAGAGGGCCCGTTGGGCCCTGGGAGGGCTTTGAGCCCCGAAGGCTTGAGCGGGAGAGAGGGAGAGAGAGGAGCAAGCAGAGGCAAGGGCAGGGAGAAAGAGGAAACCCAAGCCGAAGAGGGGGAGGAAAAGGAGGAGGAGGAGGAGGAGGAGGAGGAGGAGGAGGAGGAAGAGGAGCAGGAGGAGGAGGCGGATGAGGAAGATGAGGAGGAGGAGGAGGGAAGAGCAGGAGGGGGGAAGTACCGGAGTAAAGCAAACCCCACCAGCCCTTGAGGGCGTGAGTGTTTTAGAGCGCTTGCTTTTCCAACCCTCTTCTTCCCCTTCAGGGAAGGGTTTGCCCCTCCCCCTCCCCCTTCCCCTGGGTCCGGGTGGGGCGTTTCGCGAGGGGTTGGAGCTTCCAAGATGGCCTCGGCGAGGAAGACAAAATTAATGATTTTCTCATGGTTTTGACCACCTTTTGGCCAGCCTAATTAAGGAGCCCTCCTACTGCGATGGATCTCTTCCAAGATGGCCTCTGAGGCTCCCAAGGGTGCCCCAAGACGGCCCAAAAGTGCTCAAGTGGCCCCCAGAGGCCCCGAAGAGGTGCCCCAAATGCCCTCACTGGGCCCCCAAGAGACCCCCAAGAGGCTCCCCAGAGGCACCCAAGACGCCCCAAAAGGTCTCGGCGAGAAGGCCAACATCATTGGGTTTACAATGGTTTTGGCCACAGTTTGGCCTCCTGGGGGGACCGTAATTGCGGAGCTCCCCTACTTTGATCGATTTCCTCCACGATAGCCCCCGAGGCTTCAAAGGGTGCCCCAAGACGGCTCGAAGAGATGTATAGGAGGCCCCAAGAGGCCCCCAAGATGCCCCAAGAGGCACCCAAGAGGCCTCGGCGAGGATGCCAACATCATTGATGTTCTTCAGATTTTGGCCACATTTTGGCCTCCTGGTGGGGGGGGATCCTGATCTCTTCCATGATGGTTCCAAGTTGGCCCCGAGGCTCGCAAGGGTGCCCCAAGACGGCCCCAAAAGGTGCCCAGGAGGCTTCAATAGGCCTCCAAGATGGCCCCAAGATGCCCCCAATAAGCTCACAAGAGACCCCGAATAGGCCCCGGCAAGCCCCCCAGAGGCACCCAAGACGCCTCCGGAGGCCCCTAGGACTGCCAAGAGACCCCGGAGTCGCCCCAAGAGGACTCCAAGAAACTCTCGAAAGGAATCCGAAAAGACTCCCAGACGCATCCAAGAGGTCTCTGGCCGTTCTGCTCGCCCTCCTGCTCCTCCTCCTCATCTTCCTCATCCGCCTGCTTCTCCACCTCTCTCCTGCCTCCTTTCCCTCCCCTCCTCCTCCTCCTCCTCCTCCTCCTCCTCCTCCTGCTCCTCCTGCTCCTCCTGCTCCTCCTCCGATTCCGCATCCTCCCCCTCTTGGAATACGACGTCGAACCCAGCCCTTTATTCCACTGCGTTATCCTCCACGTCCCTCATCAGGACAACTCGTCTGGACATCGTCTCTGGATGGGCGGTGGGGTTACGCGAAGCGTCTAACATGTGCAAAGTGGGTGGAGCAGGAGGGAGGCAGGAGAGGAATATTGTTTTTTTTTTTGATTGCGCGCGCGTTGAACCTGGCGGCTGTCGCGTAAGAGTGGCGCTGCGGCTAGCAGAGACAATTAGCTCAGACAGCTCATGCGTCTATACTAAAAGTTGAGACTCGAAAACCCTGCACGGGCACCGAAGGTAAAGTACAGCACAGTAGAAAGGTTCAGGCCTGCGTGCCGAATTGCCAGCCCCAGCATCCCCCCCCCGCCACCCATTGACCTGCACTATTGATTAGGCGTCAGCGTGTAGCTGACCTTCAACAGTGGTCAGTAGGAAAGGCGGGCATACGGTGGCGGCGGTCCTGCAAGGTGTTCCCGACATTCCCCTATCAGCCAGGGCTCGGGTCTCTCGCAACACAGAGTTAGGTAGGGAGGCAAATCATGCAGAGCTGCGCTGCACACTGGATCCGACACCTGGCTGTCCACTTGTGGGTCCGGTCAGCACACGCAACGGCTTGTGGTTAGCGACGGCCTTCGCTCACCGGCCCCCTGTCACTGCCCCCACGGGCCAAGGCATGGAACGTGCCAGCGCGTCGGTAGCTGCTGGCAGGGGCGCGCACCTCTGTCGAAGGTGCTGGCGACTAGAGAGATGGCGGGTGGCAAAGCACGCAGGCGGCGGGCGGAAGTGCAAGATCGGCAGGCGTCATCTCTCTTCGAACCCACAACCATTGCCCAGCCCATACATGCCCGCACCACCCGAATACTCGCTATCTCAACGACTGCGGGTTGCTTTCACAGTGAGCAACTGTAAATGTTGACCTTGCCTCGGCGAGAGCCGCTGTGGGGTGGGGGCGTCGCAGGTTCCCTTCGGGGCGCCCACTCTGCCCCCCCCCCCCCCCCCTCGCGGTTCGACCCTCGGCTCGGCCGACAAAGGCTGAGCTGGAGCTGGCGACAGCTGCGCAGTGCGCGACCGCTGTCAGTCACAACTGATTCGCTCTATCCACCCAGCCTAAAACTTTCGCGCGGGGGACGGGCCCTGCGCGGCGTCTGCGACGGGGCGGCGGCGGGGCATGGGCGTCCGCACGAGCTGCTGCACTGAAGCGCCTCTCCGCCCCTCGATCCTCCAGACGCCCGCCCCACTCCACCCGCCCCCAGGTTCTGACCACATGTTGAAGTCAGCTGGGCTGTCGCGGAAGATGGGGGAGACAGGGGGGGAAAAATGCTCCGGAATAATGGTCAGGGCTGCCTGGCCGCACTCGCTGCAACGCGTGGCTAGCTGTTAACCTCCCCCGATACCTCCGTAAACCACCCCCG